TCACTACTCAGCTTAGGGAGTTACCATCCATTTTCAACTAAACCTATCGGGTGACATTTTCAAGGATCTTAAGATGACCTTATTTAATGATCTAAGCAGGAAGTGCAAGAGCCTTAGTGGCCCCAAATCTCAAAAGCTACACATGGTCTGAGCTGCCAAACGGCCAGTGTAGGTATACCAACCATCTGACCCGCGCATGGGCTCAGGGACCACCATGGCTTGACCTGTCTCTCCTGCAATCACTAATTAGGGAATAAAGAAGGAAAATACAAATATTGGAGGGACACAAGAGGGAAGGGAGAAGCTGGAGCTGCGATTAAAAGAAGTAAAAGATATCGGGGGACATTCCAGAAAAAGAAAGGTTGTCAGAACACGTGTGGTGAAAAAGTAGGGCTTCTTGTGGCAGGTTAAGGAAACAGAGGATGCAAGTCTACAGGAAACTAGACATCCTTCCTGGCACACACAGAATAGCCTGTTTCCAAACTATAGAACTGATCCCCATGATATTAAGCTATAGATGAGAATCAAGCATCTGCAGTGCAACTAAAAGTTTTGCTAATATTTAGCAAGATTAAGGAATGATTTTTCATGTAGTGGCCCAGTTATTTTCCACAGCCTCACTACATGAACACAGGCAAACTGTTTAACCTCCCTGTCTATTGCTCATTTTAAAACTGGATAAAAATACTCCACAGCTCTGAAAAGTGCTTTCAGATCCAAGAAAGGCAAAGCTGCTAAATGCATGCAAAGAGTCATTCTTAATAGACAGTATTCCATAGTGGGCATACATGGGTCTACAAAAATGACTGAGTAGCACCATTTATCCTTTGCTAGTAACATTAAATTATACACATGTAAAGAAAAAAAAAATTACACTTAGGTCCAACTTCATTACTGATACAACTTTTTTTTTAAAAAAAAAAAAGGAAAATAAACAAAAACACATAAGTAGTTTTTACCCAAATGAAAGCTATTTTTTCTTCTTAAAAGAGCCAAACACTGAGCCTCTAAAAATTTGTGAACCTCCATTCATGAGCAACTAGTGATATACATCCCCATCTACTGTGCTTAAATTCAGTTCAAATCCTGGAAAAGATTAAAAACCACAGCAAATATTTGCAGGAGCATCCCCAATCCTTATTTGTACTCCAGTTACATATTAGCTAAATCAATTTGCAATTTTAAATAAAGATTTGCCAGAGCTCATTTTAGAGACCACTAGAATGGAAAGACAGTGTCAACATTAAGCAATTCAATCCCAGTTTTAGCGAATGTACAGTACCTGGCTCAAAACAAGAAGATTTGCAAATAACTAACAGGGAAAATATCACATAATACACAAACCAAGCCATCCTGTGTAAACTGAAACTAAGCAGCTTTCTTCATTCAAATGTGTCTCTTGTGTTTGACTGACTTTAGAGTCTAGGATGATATAAATTCCGACCATAGTTTCTTCCAAACCTGAGGGAAATTGATGATCTCTCTCCTGTGTGGATTGTCTAGTACATGAAAAACCTTTTTCATAGTGAAGAGTCTCCCAGGTTCTGGCCTTTCTCTTTATGAGGGCATTCATTTTGTTCTCTACCCTGCTGTCCGTTTTCACATAAGTTGCAGGAACTTCTATCTTTGAGATGTTTAACTCGCTGTCATACTTGGTGAGAATCATTCAACAGGATCAACAGCTCTTGTAGAAGATGTACATATGTACATATGTACAATAGATGGCATAACTTCCTACACAAACATGGAATACAAAAGTTACCCTCCCTAACCGTAAATCTAAAATCAAGAACTTATATTTTTATTTTCAGGAAACGATTATGAAACTCGGAAAAGTTATTCAGCACGTCTGCACAAAGCAGTTCTCTCAGAATGAGGTAAGTGTGATCCTTAAGTCTAACAGCCAGTCTGAAATAACCCCATGGTGGCACCGTCTCACTCCAGAATACTAGTCATTGGTTTGTTTTTTTCCCTCTTCACTGTGGATAGTATACCTTGGAAAACATAAAACACGAGCAATACAAGCAGAGTAAGCTACTGCTCAGTAAACTTAATTGTGAGCAGAACCTATGAAAGCATATTTAAGAATATACAACGACTTGCAACTATTATTTTCTGAAGGAAAGCAGAGTTCATTGACACAAGATGTGTTGTATGACTAGGGATTTTCCTGGCTTAGACATTCAGGTGTTTAGCTATGTCTGTAACAAACAGATGTTTACCGCAGTACATAATTTTCTCGTTGAGACAGGGTGGAATGCAAAATTAAAATGGAAAAGGTTTTCGATGTCATCTAATAAAAAAGAAGGAAAAAATATAGAAATCACACAGGACCATGAATATAAAAAATTACTAGAAAATACGATTTACAAAAAATACAAATTAGGAAGTTCACGCAACAGGCAAGGAACTTGTCGTACAATGCAGCACTTAAGAGGAATTTACAGTAAGAGAGCTACACATGCCACTACACTTGTAGTACTTCATAACCTATTATTTGTAGAGTATGCAACACAACTGTATCACACTGGATGTCTCTAATCCAGTATGATCTCAGAAAATCAGTAATCCTGATCTCATCCAAACACAGAACTGGAGATCAGCATGAACCTGGCATGTACTTCTAAGAGAGGCAGGTATTGCTGGCCTGAGCAGCTCTACGTGGTGAGTTTTATGTGAGAAAAAGTCTGTTAACTTGAGGCATGCCCCAGATAATCAACCCTCTCTCACTCCCAGCTGAAGCAACTCTGTGCATAACACTTCGCTCACCACAGCTAAGATCCTTGAGGGATAACGAAACACAAGCCGTGCCCAAAAACTGTTTCTAAAATCACGCAAAAGCTTTGCTGAGCATACATGGAGTTACATGATAACCATGGTTAGTCTCTGTGTTAACTCATTCTGTAGACATTGCACTAAAAGAAAATTGAAAAAGATATCCCTGAACATCCCAGGATGTCACTCTTGGGAATCTGTATTCTTACGATTTATTCCTAAGCTTTATCACAGTACTTTAGACTACAGCAATTTTCAGGAAACGATCTGTGGCTGAGTTCATGCTGTATATAACATTTGTCTCAGCACGTTCTAGATCATCTCTGAAACAATAAAAATAGACTTCTAATTCTGCTGAGGTCATCTGGGACTTAAATATCTCAATTCCCTTTTTTCTGCCAAAGTGCCTTCAGAGCTATATTAAGATCACTCTTTTTAAAGAGTAAGAAACATAACCACCTAATTTTTCATTCAAAAGTGTATATATACACTTGCCAATGGAAAAATATAACAGAAGCCATAACCAGTTCAGTTCCCTACAAGATTATTTTCTGATTTGAAAAGTGTTGAGAATGTGACTTCTATTCTATTTTACCACCTTAAGAAACCAGTATTTTTAAATAGAAGAAAGCGTCTGCACTCTATCTCATCATGCTACCTGAGCTTTCATGTTCACCTAGGCCAGTATTTTTGTCATCTATTAGCATATTATTGATAGAAAGTTGGGGGAAACTGCTCCTGCAGCTACATTGGGGCGCAGAAGCAATGAATAACTGTGATACGCAAGTGCCCCCTAGTGATGAACAGATGAACTACAGTATTACACTGGCACTTTGGCTTGTTAAATATTGTTGTAGTCATAAAACAAAGAGATTGATTAAAAAAAAAAAAAATATGCCACTTGATACTCAGCCTTTGTCCTGAGCATGGCAGAGGACACACACAGCCTCATCTCTAACAAAACACAGGCATGAAAAGCTGCAGGCAAGTCAATGTTTCTTCAAAACACAGTCACTCAGAATTAAAAGTTCTCAAAGGAAAACACATAAGGAAAAAAAATATAGAGATAATTACTTAAAGGCAAAGCATACATTCCTTTGTTTTGAGGTTTGCCAGCTTGTGCTACAGCAGCAAATGTGTGAAGGCACACATTTCACTATACTGTTAATATTCTAAGAATGTGTTCAGTAACAGCCGAATTCTGAACGGTTTTATAAGCTCAGGCAGTTCCTGTCACCCTATTTGCATGATAAATTATTTTACACAAAAAGAAAATGAAAAATATTTTCTATTGTTTTTAATGAAAGTTTTCTTAAAGGAATACTTTCGTAGAAAACCATAGCTAACGCTAAGAGAGATCCAAAATTCCTTATAAGCCAGCTGGAAAAAGCTAAGAGCTTAGTAGCCTCTAACCCTAATGCAAGGAGCTGAGAAGCTGCAAATTGAAGTAGAAGGAAAACAAGTCAAAGAATTATGTCTTGGCTGCATGTTTATTAAAGTAATATTGCCAGGAATGCATTGTCATAAATAGTAAAAGTGAGGCACAAATCAGAAAAAGCTCTGTTATCATGTAATTGCTCATTAATGCATCCATCAATAAGGAATGACAGATCCTCATATTTAAAAGATATTAAAGATGGCCAAAAAGCACATTGATTAGTTGTTTCGCATTTTAAACCAAAAGCCTCACAAATTTAACCGGATAAACCCAAAAATATTCGCATTAAAATTTTACTTGGTATAAGTATCAAACCAATAGACAAACACAGTTCTACACAACACATAGCCCAGCCAGTAACACGTTACCCAGGCACCGAACTCCAAACTCATACCCAGAAATGTCAACACTCTGAAAACGTTCTTTTGTCTTTGTGGCTTCAGAATCCTAAAGGGTTTATCAACCAGACTGATGAGACCTGTCCAAAATCAGGCAGGTCAAAAAATAATTGAAAAAATGTCTTGCACGAGTAAATTAGAAAGGATTTAGATAAAAGCACAATAAGAACGACATATCAGATAAACCGTTTTAAACAAAACCAGGCACAGTTGGAATGCTGAGTCAGCATAAAGTCTGCTCCTTTCTTGTCTCCTCACTGAAGTTAAACAGTTAAGGCTGCAATGTAACACCAAAGAGAGAGATGAGACATGAACACAAAGAAAACACCTACAATGCAAGAAGTACGTTCCAAACATTTTTATTTGAAGTATGTGAAGGGTTTACTTACAATTCTTCTCCTTGTTTTGCTTTTCTGTCAGAAACCAGATACACATTTCCAAAGCTTCCATTGCCAAGTTTTCTCTGAATAGTGTATCTTCTTGCAATTACAGCATCTGAGCAAGCAGAATTAAATCTGGCAACAATGACATGTTTAGCAGTTTCTTGAAATTTCAGCATTTCTCTGTGTAACAGAAACTTAAAAATCTCTAGAATGTAGCTTTCAGAGGCTTTTACTCTTTCATGGATGTTCACAGGAAACACTTGAAACAGAAAAAAAAAAAGATTTGTCTATGTATTATTCTTATTAAAATCTTCATTTAAATCTATGGCAGTGCTTATAGTGGTCAGCTTGCAGCAAAATGCAAATTAAGTGGAATCATTAGTTGCTAAGCTGTAGGCAGCAGACTTGGTAAAGAAACTCCAGATAATGTAGACGTGACATAGTCAGCCTTCCTCTAAATCAACCTTAAATAAATTCACTGAAATGATAACACAGGCAAAAGGAAATGCAGGTGCTTATACATTAATTTATTTAAAAGTTCAAGTGCTTTTTTGCAAGAACAACTACACCTGTATTTCACCAGATACTTCCCCTAGATATATTCACTCTTCCTCATCATCCGTCTGTACACCACCACAGTACCTAACATCAGAAGTATCTGTGTTTCAGGATAAGTTTCGTTATTTTCGTACATACTGAAGCACAATCTCCACCCGTAATTGGAGTTCACTACCATCAATAACTAAAAAGCTGTTTTCTTTGCTCTTTCATTTGCCCCTCAGATTTCACCATCTGTTTCAGAGCTCACCTCACAGCTTCTGTGTGATTCACTACTAATACCTTCTGCAAATTAGAGCTTCATGGCTACACACAAGTCTATAAGACTCAACAAAATACAATTCTTCAAAAGCTCTTAATTTCTCCTTCACTGTAATAATTCTTTCTTCATCCACCTTTTTAACAATTTAGCTTTGACTGGCTTAGACAATCTCTTGTCTAACTGAGATCCTAAATCTGCCAACACAGGGACTGCAAAGGCAAACCTCTAGTGTTTCTACGGCTTTCAATAAAGGAACGTGAGTTTAGAGCATCCTTGTTTACACAGCCTTCCTCATTCCAAATGATAAAGCACAGGTGTTTCATTGCACACAACAAAACAATACTGCTTTCATTACCTTGCCTTTACATAATGCTACCTGCACCATTTGTGCTTCAGGATCCTTTGGAACAAATAAAGCTGTTGCAAAATCCTACAATCAGTGCAACTCGTACTACCACCTATCAGCACTGCCTGCTGCAGTATGACCACAGCGTTTTAACATCTACGCAAGCACATCCAAACACCTTTCTTTGTTTGCTTTGGAAGAGAAAAGACAAATCACTTAATTTTAAAGGCTGTATAACTGCTGATTCCAAGTCACTGTCTTCGCTTCCTAACAAATGCAGAGCCTAAATGAAGCCCAAATGATACAAATTTGTATCTTACAACAGTGTGTGTGTGCAAGAGTCTTTTTTAATATCCATCTGTTGAGCTGCTGTCACACTGTACCAAAGAGCCTGACGTTGTAGTGTCACTATATTATGAAACACAGCCAAATATTAATTACTACAAGTCATCTTCACAACGATACAAATCCTGTATGTTCTTTAAACAAACGCACTCCTAAGATTCTGTTCCTGTATTCTCTTTCAGATAGCAACAATGACAAAAATTTTGAAATGCAAATGCTAAGCAAAGAATGTCAGCTAGAAAATTACTTCTTCTGTAACTCCAAATCTGTTTGAAAAAGCATAAATGGATCATGTTGAGATGTGAGGGAGGGGAGGGCAAGAAGACGAACTCCATAAAATATTACACTGCCAGTCCTAGAAAGTTTATGTATTTTTCATTTACTATTCTCCTAGGAAGCTGCTGGTTTATGGATGCCTTCATAAATTCCAAATAGAATAGCTTTGAAATACATAACCTTTAGAAGTAACTACACTTACAAAAATTGCTGAGCTATCTATTCCTTTTTTTCTGGAGAAGAGTCACTTAACTCTGCTCACCCACCTTCAAATTTTCATACTTACTTGGGCCCTAGGAATATATCACAATCCTTTACACTACAATCACAGAATCATTTTGGTTGGAAGAGACCTTGAAGATCATGAAGTCCAACCATTAAGCTAACACTGCCAAGTCCACCACTAAACTATGTCCCTAAGCACCACACCTGTGTCTTTTAAATACCTCCAGGGATGGTGATCAATCATTTCCTCGGACAGCCTGGTCCAATGCTTGACAACTCTTTTGGTGGAGAAAGTTTTCCTAACATCCAATCTAAACCTCCCCCTGGCGTAACCTGAGGTCGTTTCCTCTTGTCCTCTCGCTTGTTACTTGGGAGAAAAGACCAACACCCACCTCGCTACAACCTCCTTTCAGGTAGTTGCAGAGCACCATAAGGCCTCCCCGAGCCTCCTTTTCTCCCGGCTAAACAGCCCCAGTTTCCTCAGTCACACCTCGTAAGTCTTGTGCTCTAGACCCTTCACCAGCTTCATTGCCCTTCTTTGGACACTCTCCAGCACCTCAACGTCTTTCTTGTAGTGAAGAGCCCAAAACTGAGCACAGTATTCAAGGTGCAGCCTCACCAGTACTAGGTACCGTGGGAAAATCACTTCCCTAGTCCTGCTGACCACACTATTTTGGATACAAGCCAGGATGCTATTGGCCTTCTTAACCACCTGGGCATGCTGCTGGCTCATATTTGGCCAGCTATCAACCAATACACTCAAGTCCTGTTCTGCTGGGCAGCTTTCCAGTCACTCTTCCCCAAGCCTGTAGCATTGCACGGGGCTGCTATGACTCCAGTGCAGTACTTGGCACTTGGCCTTGTTGAACCTCATGCAATTGGCCTCAGCCCATCGATCCAGCCTCTCCAGATCCCTCTGCAGAGCCTTCCTTACCTCAAGCAGATCAACACTCCTGCCCAACTCGGTGTCATCTGCAAAGTTACTGAGGGTGCACATGATATCACACTTGAGATCGAGTAGCCCATTGAGTCTAATTGTTGTGCTTTATCTCCAACCCCACCTCTCACCTACTACTCCCTATGCTTCAGTTTCCCTTCGTATATAATAATAACTATCATATAACTTTGTGAAATGCTTTGGTATTTACTGCTGAACAGTATTATAAGGCAGGGGCCAGTGATTGCCACTGTGGTATCACAGGCACCTTTTATTGGCACAGAACAGATAAATTGCTGAGCCACTGAATTTGAAAAAAATATCCTGTAAGAGTCAGAAGACTCTAGAGCCTGATTCAACTATAAGACTGATTGATTCTTCAAGAAGCATATTAACCGGCAGCCTCTCCTACCTCACTCAAACCTTTAGTCCAACCTTCCTTGTACTTTTCACCAGTGTCCATCTTCTCCCACTGAGCAGGTACTTCCCAAGCAGCAGTCCAGCAATTGCTTCCTTAAAGTTCAGAGCAACTAGAGATAACACAAAGAAATCAACTCTCCAGCCCCCTTTTTCTCAAAAATCCCAGTATACCCTATCCAGTAACACTCCAGTAAACAGTTCATATTCTTAATTTCGTTCCCCTAACCTCCAAGCCCCATTCCAGAGCCTGGTAGACAGTTGATGCTAAACTAATGCAACTACATCATCGACTACCAAAGACGCTAATTAATATCTCCCTGACGCACGTTCAGGAAGCCGAGATCCCCTAGGATAACTTCAGAGACGTTATTAGCTTGTTAATACACCGCGTAAGGCTCAAAATTCGCGCTGCGAGAGCCTAAGGGCACTCACAAAGGTTGCCCCCGCTTCCC